TTTTTGGCTTTTTTAGCTTGGGGCTAAAAAACTCTCGCTTGGAAATGATTTTTTGGTTTTTTTGACTTTTTGTGAAAGAAAGAATGTAATGATTATGAATTGGATGTGATATTTTATCTTATTGGGTTAAAAAACTTATTTTGTCTTTTTGTAACTAAAATAACTCCAAATCCAACCCAACCTTTCTTCCCAAACGAAGCCTAAATAAGCTGAATATTTTTTTTTTGATTATTTGTGCCAAACTAGTCTGAATTTTTTTCAATTTAAATTTTTGAAAATTTCTCTTCTCCCAAATCAAAAGAGTTACTTAGCGTGATCTAGGGGTTTAAAGATTGATAACGCCTAAACCTTTTACAAGTTAAAAAAAAAAAAAAAGTGATGATGATGATACCTATATAGACATTTTTAGCTTTTTGTATTCAATTAAAATCATTAGTTTTGTTGTCACACGCGACATATCAGTTTTGCGTTGTTTTTAGTTTTGAGTTCCATACTACAACTTAAGAGATGGTTTGAAATAAAATAACATAAATAAGTGTATTTTTTATTTTCTATAAAAAGATATATAAAAAAAGGGAGTAATAAATAAGTGTATTTTTTATTTTCTATAAAAAGATATATAAAAAAAGGGAGTAATTTTTTTCCAGTCCTAGAACGGATTGGAGGGTGCTTTTTGGTCTATGAGGGCTTACTACAGGTCCCGTTTCGATAATTCGAACAGTTCAATATGTAAAAATCGTCGAGTACTATATACCTATAAAAAATTACGTTATTAGATATCGATAGCTATCTCATCGGATCAATTTTCTGTCAACTGTTAATTTGTTCACCGTCAATTTTTTTTTTTATACAAAATTGATTTGATCATATAGTTATCAATATCCGATCAACATGATTTTTTACAGTCATATAGTACTCGACGAGTTCTACACATTGAACGATTCAAATTATCGAAATGGGACCCGTGGTGAGCTCTCATGGGTCAAACAACACCCTCCAGTCCGATCTAGGACAGGAGAGAAGCTACTCCCATAAAAAAATAAAAAGATGATATGATCTAAATAAGTGTACATATTTAAACAAATATACTTATTTAGGGAATGCAAACAAACTCTTATGCTGTGACATCGATCTAATAGAAATTAAAATTGAGAAAACTACACTTCAGTAAAAAATTTATAAATTTAATTATTAATGTTTATAAACTGTGCTATTGATTTGAATTTTATTTATTTATTTATTTGAAAAGATCCACTGCCTTTTAATTTCTCCATTGCCAGTAGTAAGAGCAACCTCATCAAACTCGGTAGACAACTTCTCCAGCTAAACTAGCGAGATGAACTCCAAAAAACCAGGCGCATCAATCTCGCTACAAGCGCGCCAAAATTTGAGGATGCTATATTAGCTCGTTACAACAAACGATCTACTGTTCATCGTTATCCATTTTTTAATTTTTTTTTTCCCGCAAACTCTACCTTCTTCCTATTCCGTGCCAAAACTACATAGCGGCAACCACTCCACATCATTTGCTTTCACCATATCTGAAACTCTAGTTCTCTCTCTCTCTCTCTCTCTCTCTCTCTCTCTCTCTCTTTGTGTTGTACTCTAGATTTGGATTAGATTGTATGAATTGGGGTCTGTAATTTTATTTGAGAACCATCAATGGCTCTTTGATTGAGTTAAGTTGTTTGAACATCGTTGAAAATTTATATGCACAAAATTCTTATATCACAATTGTTTGATAAATTGCCTCAATGAAAGTGAATGCATATGTTGATATTTTAAAGCTTAGATTACTTGTATATTCTTAAAATCTTTAAAATTGGGTAAAGAAAATTTCTATCATACTGAGAAAGAACATATATAGCTTGTGATCTTTATGGTTTTTTTTTTATACACATCGTATACAACTATGATATAATTTTAAGATTTTTGTTGAGTAATTAGTATATAAAATTAATTTGCCCCATTGTCTACCACTATTTAGTTAAAAGTGATCAAGTGTGAAATGTATTGTTGATTGTTCATGTCGTTGAATATAACTCAGAGAAAGGATAGATAAAAGTGAATTACTATGAGAACAAGTAGAAAAAATAAAGGGGAAGTGTGTTCAAGTTAAACAACAAATTGAGCCAAAACCAAATGTTTAGCCCTTCATGTTTGTTACCTTCTGTATATCTAATTAAGGCATTAAAACTTTTCCGTTGTCTGAAATCTCAAGCATATAAAGCTAATGTTCTTGATGTGCATAGACAAATGAAATTAAAAAGAATGATAAAATCCTCACATGTCAAAGGGGCAAGAAATGGTCATCCCCAGCTTTTTTTTAGTTATAATTAAGTCATCCTACCTCTACCTATTTTTTAATCTTTAACTCCACTTTTTGGTCTCTATTTTGTTTAAGTGGAATAGAAAGGAAGTAGTGCTTTAAGATTTTAATTTTTCTCAACATACCATTTTAGAGTATAACAATATGGATAAGTCATTGAGGGTGTGAAGTGTGGTGAATGTGCTAGTTTTCTAATGGATGCTTTGCTGCTATGGTGTGGAGTATCCCTAATTTCCTGCACAATCTAGAGGGCATTTTCTGGCTTGCTGGGAGTTGGATGTGTTGGTGCCTTACCAACACTTTTTTTCCAACCTTGTTTGCAGTTTTTGCTAGCATTTGATTGGGTAGTTGCTTCCATATTAACTTTGTTGGGATATTAGCTTAGCCACCTATGATGCTTCCTTATATTAAGCTTTTGTTATGTAATTTTGTTTACATAATAAAATCTTCCTTTTGCCTTCAAAAAAGAAAAAAAAAATCAAATTTTTGTAAGCAATTATCAAAACACTCCTCCAAGCTCAACCCTTTACTCAAACTTATATCAACATGAGTTTTACTTAAAGGGAGACTCAAATTCTTCACTCAAATTCATATCAAATTTAATTTTTTTAGCAAAAAAAATTGTTAACTCCTCTTATTTAATCCAACGAAAACTTAACACAGGTGCTCTTTTCCCCAAATTTGAGTTAAGGGTTGGAGGCGGTCTTAGTATGCTTCATTAAATTGATTTTATTTTATACGAAAGTGTTAAGTTGTTGTCTTGTTGGGATAGATTCAATTTGAAATTTTTCACTCTATCTTGAACGATGGATTCATTTTGATTTGATTCACTCTATCTTGTAGGATGGATTCAAGTGGAGACCCTTTATTTACCAATCTCTTACAAGAGGCCTCCAACCTTGACAACCAATTCATGAAGTCTCAATATCTGAACCAAGTTAGTCAAGGTGCTGGCCAAGAATCTCAGTTTTCAACCAAAAAAGAATATGCTATGAAAAAGTCACGCAGTGACAACTTTTCTAAAGAAGAAAACAATTTGCTTATATCGGCTTGGCTTAATACTAGCTTGGATGTAGTGCATGGAAATGAGCAAAAAAGTAAGACATTCTGGAGGAGAGTTGGGGAGTACTTCCACGAGCACAAAACATTTATTAGTGAACGTACTGATAATTCTTTGATGAACCGATGGTCAATCATTCAACTTGGAACCAATAAGTTTTGTGGGTACTTTGCTCAAATTGAATCAATGCGTGAAAGCAATGTGAATGAGCAAGACAAGGCATCAATTACATAGATATTTAAACATTTACCATGCAATATATTTTAAAATTTTGATATATATATTTTCAAATTGGCAAGGCAAAACTTATATACCAGAAGGTTCATAAAACCTCATTTCCATTCAAACATTGTTGGAATGTGTTGAGGCATCAACCAAAACGGTTTGAGACATACCAAAAGACAAATCCAAAAAGGAGTCGAAATTCCACATCTTCACCTTCAACACCAGAGTTAGTCAATCTAGAGGAAGATGAGATCTCACGAGATACGTCTATACAATTGGAGAGACCAATTGGCAAGAAGAAAGAAAAAGAAAGGCAGAAAAAATTGAAGAGCCAAGATACTACAAGTTCTCCAATTGTAGACTTGCTAATTGACATGAAAGAAGTGAGAAAGAAAGGAACTAAGAAAAAACTTGAAATGCTTGAGAAATCATACATTATTCACATTGAAAAAACTAAAATGGAGAAATTGAAGCAAGAAGAGAGAATCATGATGATGGATACTGTAGCACGCGCCCGCGGAGGGGGACCTCGCTACTACAGTTCGGACTCGCGATTTTTGTTTGTCGCGGTTCTTAATCTGAACCAAAGAGTCCAAATGAAACTGTTATGCTTTTTTGTAACTTTTGACTGTTAGTTTGGTAGATTTTGTTTGGATGAAATAGTTAGATACTTTTGTGCTATTTGGTTTGACGATGTAGAAACAAGGGTCTTTTTTGTGACTTTTGACTAAAGTAAGGTTTATGTATATTTTGTAACTTTTGCCTATATAATACATTGGCATTTTGTAAGCTCTACTTATTGGAGTTAGATTCTATTTCTCAATAAGAAACATATAGATATTATATAAGTTGATTTGCATTAATATGAAAACATGACAAATTAAAAACTACAAGTCGATAGACTAGTTTCTTGCATATAGCACATAGGAAATCAAAATGAAACTGAGCTGAACTGGGCTGTTTTTGCTGCTATTTCGGGCTGTTTTGTTGCTGTTTTACTGCTGTTTTAGAGCTACTTTGCTGTTGTTTCAGGGCTATTTTGTTGTTGTTTCGGGGTTGCTTTATAGCTATTTTTGTGCTGAATTTGGGGCTGTTTTGTGGCTATTTTTGTGCTGAATTTGGGCTTCATTTTCACCTCCAAAAACTACAAAATAATAGGATGAATTAATATGGATAATTTATAACATTTTGATCAAATGAATTCATCAAACAAAATCAAAAACATAATATAAATAAAATCATCAAAATCAATATGTCTAACAAATGACTTTCCCAAAAATATCTAGTGTTTAGGTTGATATAAAAGGTTGTAATCATGAGAACCAACCTAGTGTTTAGGTTCATTCTCATTAATTCCAGATTGGCTATAGATTTGCCTATTCCAACCTAAGATTGGCTATAGATTTGCCACAAGTGCTTAACCAAATCCGATTGGAGTCGAGAATGAGTTTTTCTATCTCTTATGCGACGATGTTGTTGAATAAATTCCATGGTATTAGGTGTACGTTCAAGTGACACTTGTGCATGAGGGATTTTATCGATTTGTTCATAATCAATGTTTTCCTCTCCTCCGTCATCTCTTTCATCCTCAGTGATCATGTTGTGTAGTATTATACAAGCCTTCATAATATCTTTAAGAGTCTGAAGATCCCATGGTTGTGTAGGTCCACACACAATTGCAAAGCGTGCTTGAAGCACTCCAAATGCACGTTCTACATCCTTTCCATACACCTCTTGGGCCTCAGCAAAATGTTTATTCTTTTTTCCTTGTGGACGAGGAATTATTTTAACAAAAGTTGCCCATTGTGGATATATATCATCAGCAAGGTAGTATCCCATGGTATATTCATTTCCATTAATGGTGTAATTAAGTCGAGGAGCACGCCCTTGAGCAAGCTCGGTAAATATGAAAGACCATTCTAAAACATTGATATCATTATTAGACCCAAGTAATCCAAAAAATGCATGCCATATCCAAAGATCATATGATGCTACTGCTTCCAAAATAATTGTTAACTCATGTGCATGGCCAGTATGCATACCTTTCCATGCAGTTGAGCAATTCTTCCAAGTCCAGTGCATACAATCAATGCTCCCTAACATCCCAAGAAAACCGCGACTTTCACCAACAGCTAGAAGTCTAGCAATGTCGTCGTTGTTTGGTAACCTCAAATACTCATCAGAAAAAATTGCAACCACTGCTTTGACAAATTTCTTTAGGTTTTTCATTGCAATACTTTCTCCAATCCTCAAGTATTCATCCATAAAATAAGGTGCTACTCCATAAGCAAGCATTCTAAGAGCCGTAGTTATTTTTTGAAGAGCAGACAAATCGAGCACTCCAACACCATTTCTTTTATGAACAAAATATGGTTCATAAGCTTCTACTTTAGATTGAATGCGGAGAAAAAGAGAACGATTCATTCAAAACTTTCTCGAAATAATTTGGGAGGATATACTGGTGGATCAGCAAAATAGTCGAGAAAAAGCCTTTGATAGCCTTGCAAAGGATTACGCCAAACAAACTCGCGTCGTTTACGAGCAGCATGTCGTGACTTTGATTAACTCTCGGCTTCCATAGAAGCTATTGTAACTATCTCCAACTCATCATCGGAGTCGGAGTCATAAAGAATCATGTCTAGAAAATGAAGATCCATATATAAAAAATCAATGAGGATAGAATGAAAGAAAAATATTTCATTTAGATTGTGAGAATTAGAGAACATATGTTATTGTTTATAGTAGAAGAATATGACCATTTAAAAAATTATGACCGTTGATAAATATAGCCGTTGGAATGCACAGTAGAATGATTGAAGAATATGGTCCAGTTTTGGATTTGGGGTCTTTATATTTTTCCCAAAATGCACCAGTTGGCCACCGTGTCAGTGACTTTCTAATAATCTGATCCATTCATATTTTAGAGTTGATTAACTAGATTAACCACAAAAAATTTCAACTCAATCGGAGATCAGCACAATGGCTGCCCGAGCCAAACCGCAAGCCCCTGTTTCCTCCAGGAAATGCTACTTGATCAGGCCCCTAGAAATGCTACTTGATCAAGCTAACTCATTAATTTAATAAAAAAAAGAAAGAAAAACAAATACAATAAAAAAAATATTTTTTAATAGGATTAAGTTAGAATAGAGAGTTTGATGAAGTGGGTACTAAAAATATGACTAGCTAAAACAGAAAAATAGCTTTATAAGTTATAATTTGACTAAAATTTTAAAGAGATTGGTGTGGATGCTCTAAGTAACCTTGCCAGGAAAGAAATGAAAACATGTACTCAAATCCTCTAAAATATTATAGGACAAATTATATTAGAGGTATTTATATTTTGTTTCTTATATTATTTTAGTCCCTATATTTTTAATTTACATAATGTTGACTCTTAATTTTAAATTTTATGTCAATTTGGTCTAATTGATAATATCATTAGTGTTTTTGACTGAAAATAATCATTGAATTGTTTGAGGTTAACTCACTAAGGTTAGTAAATTTAAAATTTTACTTTAAAAAATATGACATATGGCACTTATATACATATTTTTCATTAAAAAAATGTTAAGAATTGTAATCAATTAGACTAAATTGAAACAAAATCATAAATTCATAATCAAAATCGAGTCAGTTGAAATTACAATTACTAAAATGACATAATTACCAAAGTATAAGGATTACTGTTACAATTTGTCCAATGTTATACAAATTAACAAAATAGAATACGTCTAAAAAAGTAATTTGAAATGTACTAAGAAAATGAAATGTATAGATTAGGTTTTTGTTAAGGTCTCGTTTGGAATATGTTATTTTAGTAACTTTTTAATTTTTTGGTTAAAATATGAGGTAAAAAAAAACTAATATATTTGAAATGAATTTTTAATTTTTTACGAAAAGATGTGCAAAAAGTAGAGAGAAAATAGAATCTTTGACTTTTTTTTGTATAGGTTATAAACTTTTTATTTTTTTTAATAACTTTTTCACTTTTAAACTAAAATAGACAATTCCCAAACGAGGCCTAAGTGTCGCCTATTAAATTCAAATTTACACTATTGCTTTGTTTGGCATATAGGGTTTTGGCTAAAATAGCCATAAAAAGATAAAATAGACTTTTTAACTCAATAAGACAAAATATCACATCTAAATCATAATCATTTTATTTTTTATCTCACAAAAGTCAAAAAAGCTTAAAAAAAATTATCCTAAACGAAATTTTTTAACCCCAAATTAAAATAGTTAAAAAAATAAAAAGTCAAAAAGCCAACCCTATTTATATACTGAGGTATCTTTTGCTAGGGTTCTAAACAAAATGAATAGTAGCAGGTGACTCATGATTTGATTGTTGGAGGGCCAAAAAAAATATAGGAAAATAAGTGAAGTTAAAGAAATGGATTTCCATGAAATTAACAATTGTAATTTTTCATGATATTAATTGAAAATAGATAAATTCTTATTTTTTTGTTAAATATTTGATGTAACAGTTATGTTACATGATAGCATCACTAATCAATGGGAGTTTTTACATTGTAATAGTGAGAAATAATAATTGGGCTAATAAAAGACAAAAATTGTCTACTTAATTTCATTTGTAAAGTGAATAATATAATTAAAAATATATTTTAGAACACAATATGTTAGGGAATTGTTATGGTGTGCACTCTTTAAAAGGTGCATATCGTATACATGTTATCACAATATATATTGCATAATTATAACAAATTGCAACTTCTTTCACCAAAATAGTTCTATTGGCTTATTTTTCCTACGAAAGAAAATACCATAAATGCGAGCATACCAGTAAGGATTAAAAAATCCTTACAGATTAAATTCAAGACAATTATCAAGCGATTGTATTGACAATTCTTTTGCCTCAATGAAGAAGACTTCAAAATTGCCAAGTGTAGAGAAAAGAAAAATTAACAGAAGAAAGAGGGAGACGGAGAAAGATGATTGAGTGAACAATTGGGATGATTGAGTGAACAATCGAAGTAACAATTAATTACCTTTACTCATATATTTTGAAAAGGAAGTGCATAAAATTACCTCTATTTCTATGCTTCAAAAAAAAAGTGTTAAAAATAAAGTGCAGGAAATATAAATGAGAAGAAAAAATAGAAATCAATTATCTTTGATTTGAGTTGTGGGTCTTTACAATGTAACCATGAATGGCTATTGAGAGGGAGATTTGTACCGAACCTTGTGGCCGAGCTACATCAACACGGAGTGTGGTGTTGGGCTATGTGAGGAAAGCCGAAGACGCATCGTTGGGCCGACCTAAGGTTGTCTGAGATGTGTTTGGCTGAGTTGGACTCACACAGGGTGTTGTGTCGGCCAAACCCAACTGAACTGTCTCATATCGACGGGCAGAACTGCCCCGGCATTGAGGTCCAATGGAGTGGAGCCGCATGACGACCGAACTGTGGACCGCTCAGGCTATTATCACTGAGGCAGACGGTCCGTGGGATCGCAGCTTGTAGCCAAAATGTCATACAACGCACCTACCTACAGTCGGTCCCAGACTATTCGGGCTTTGGCCCAGCATACTACCACTAGTAGACCGGTTTGAATTAGCCCGACATCAAGGGGGTCGACTTAATGTCAATGACTCGTAAGTAATAACCCGATCGAGTACTCTATGTGGACCAATAAAGAGAAGAGAGAAATCCACTCATAGTATGCGTCAATATCATTTGGCCGTGTGACAAGCACTGGTTGGAGGTTTTGGTCTCTATACGTGTAAGAAATGTAGAAGGGAGCGCAGCTGCCTGTCCAAAGGAAGACAGCAGAGGTAGTGCACCCACAATCTTTGAGGCTATATGGCCAGCCTTGAAAACAAGGAGCATACAGACATTGGAGGTAAGCAATTTTGTGCAACTCTCTCTCTCTCTCTACAGTGCTCTTTGCCTTCTCTCTTCTCCTAACAGGCTAACTTGACGGTCGAAGGGGTTTTTCGACAAACCCACCAGCCGGGTAGCTCACCTTTGTTTTGTTTACAGTATGACAAAGTTCTAATGGAGTGCGACGAGTTTAGAAGCAAGGAGGTACGGAGCGGGGCGAATATTTCTCTTCCGTACAATTGGCGCAGTCTGTGGGAAGTTCTTTGACAGACAAACCTTTCTCTACAAGATTTTTTTAACTGTTTTTCATGGCGAACATCGATGAAACACTGCTGTCCATTGTCGATGGCATCACTTTAGAGTCAGTCTGGAGACGAGATGGCCCTCCCGCCATTCCGATAATGGCAGGAATGGAGACCTCCTCTAGAGGGCTACCTAGAGACGCGTGAGGAGCACTAATCATTCTCAGAGTCTTGAGAGGTGTCAGCGACGAGGAGAATCGCATGCTCAGCACCTAGAGCACAAACTCAAAGACCAGGACGCCCTTATTCAGAAGATGGCGGTTGAGATAGAGACGTTGAAACGACAAATCAAAGGGAAGGGTGTTGCTGAAGTGGGAAACCACAGTGAGCGCACCCAACCCTATCACTCAAGCAGGCAGCACCAATGAGAGACACCCTCCCTTTTTATCCCCAGGAGCTACGGCGTTAGCAATTCCAACCCACCGATAGAGAGATCATGTACGTGCGATAGTAGCTACCGTCCTTGGCATCCGTCGACAACGTCGAGATACTCTTACTCCGCCCATTTGGAGGACATGAAAGACGTCTTAGAGGAACGCGCACGCCACAGGGAGGCCCAAAGAGTGCCGGTGCTGCAAAGGCTGAGTTCCAGAATCCGTTGCAGTGAGAAGGTGGCCATGCCGCCACCAAGAATGGAGATTCCAGCACCGATGGACAGAGACTTAGCAAGACTCACCGCTACCCCACTGTCTCTAGAGATTGAAAGCATGCCCCTCCCCGCCTGATTACATCAACCCAAGTTCACATTATACGATGGAAAAACAGATCCATACATACACGTTAATCATTACCGGCAAGTAATGGCAGGCCATTAGCGCAATGATGCCTTAATGTGTCTCATATTTCCAGCAAGTTTGGGAGAGTTAGGCCTAAAGTGGTTCGAAAGGCTCCCAAAGGGGAGTATCGAGGGGTGGCAACAGCTAGCGGAAGCCTTTGTCACTAGATTCAAGACCAATACTTGAACACCGAAAGAGATCGACCACCTCCTGGGTGTCAAGATGGAGTTAGGCAGTTCATTGAAGGCATACAACGCCAAGTATTGGGAGACCTACAATGAGATCCTCAATTGCCCCACCAACTTGGCAATCCAATACACGCGAGGTCAACCAGTAGAACATAGACTGCGAGACTCGCTCACGATGCACCAGCCCACAACCATGGAATCATTGATGCAGCAGATCAATGAGCACATTTGAGTTGAAAATGATGCCGCCACTGCCACCATAACCGAGAAGGCAAGTCCAGTTGGGGTGGACAAACGAGTGGTTGGGAAGGTTCACTT